TTATTCAAGGAGCGAACTCATATCATCTCCCCCTTGCATTTCGAGAGAGTCGTTAAGGCTCAAATTCCTTTCATCAAGTCACCTAATCAAAAATCGACGTACAGGTCCTGAAGTGAAAGAAATCAAAGTGAAAGAAGAGGAAGAGAGTGGGTCATAAGAGCTCAAATTTATTTCTTAGAATTTTGTATTTTATTGTTTTTGGGCGAAAGCCTTTTTCTTATTTTATTTATTTATTATTATTGTTAGAATTTTAGGACAAGTGAAGAAATGGGCCTAAGGCTCAAAACATAAAACGAAATGGGTTCAAATATCGGTCCAGGAGGACAGAAATCGAATTTGGACCCTACTCTCTCTCTCTCTCTCTCTTTCTATCTCTTTTTATTTACCGCATTTATTTCTTTGTTTGTCAATATCTGTCGTTAGTCTTAGGGTCGGAAAATTCAAAATCCCCGCAAGACGCCACTTCATTTAACCATTTAAATTAAATCAACCAAGTGTAAATAAGTATTTAAATAAACTTAAATCTCACTTAGATAGTAAGTTGGTATTTCAAGGATTTTAAAATGAATTGCAATAAGTTAAGTTTTAGCCAAACAAAGTTAGTTGTCGAAACACCGCATTAGTGGGTATTTTAGGTGCCTTAAACACCTTCCTAAAAAATGTAAATATGAACCCCCGAATCCCCTTTTAAAATCTTTCAAATGATTTCCTGTTTTAGTCAATTGGAAGAATAATTTTCTTGACTTTTTTAAAAAAATTAAGTGGCAACTCTAAAACAAGTCTTAAAACATAATATTTTTTTCGTAAATAAAACAACTAATTTATATTTTAAATGCTTTTATGCATAACTATCATGCTTAGTACATTTTTATACTAACACATAATCTTGCCTACATTCTCCCAAATGTAGGGTCCGACAAGCATGGTTTCTATTCTAGTGGCTAGAGCTTCGACTTTGATCTCTTTCCGAGCTTGGTGAGTCCTTATGGTTTGAGGATGGATTTTCCTAATTGCAGTTTCACTTTCATATTTCCTTGTTGAACATGATGTATGGACTAGGCCCACTTTATTCGATTGTAATAGATGGCTATGTTGAGACATGAGTTACACTTCCACTTTCTATAAAATTGTTTTGGACTTAAATGTTGTTTTACTCTTTATTGTTCTACTACTTTATGTTATGAGGACTAAGCGACTTATATGGAGTCTTCAGGTTTCTATATGCATGTTATATCTAGGGGGTACACTTGGGTCGTGACAAATATTCTTTTTCTAACTATTTAAAGAAGACATAATACATAGATATGATCCTTAACTTGGCTTCATCGACAATTGTGCCCTCCAACTCTGAGTGTACACAAGTAGGCACTTCAACTTGTGTAAAATTGAACAAGTCGACATACATATCCTACATGACATAATATATGTAGGACGCCACGTAGGACACAAAATTGCCATGTATGTTCATTTATTTAATTTTATATAGGTTTAAGTGTCTACTTGTGCACATCCAAAGTTAAATGTCATAATTGTCAGCTGACGCCAAGTTAAGAATCATGTTTATGTATTATATGCCTTTAAAAAATAAAAAACTGATAAATGATCCAATTTCCCTCTCTTTAAGCTATTTATATTTTCCCAAAAATATCTTTTGCACCCCATTCAGTATCATTAGTCGCGCTCGTCTCGAGCTTGTCGAACTCATTAGGTGAATCATCGTTTTAACTTTCAACTCGCTCTTTATTGGCTTCAGGTGTTTGAATTTCAATGGTTGGACTCGATAGAATACGCCTTTTACAATTAGTGAGTCGCTAAATTCACCTTGTTTGTCTAATTTAGCGTTCGTTTTCACTCAGCAATATGTCACTTTCGACAATGAATTTGGGTTCGCCTTTATTTGTTCGGCGCATCGCTGATGTGACCTCTCTTTGCCAATCTGCCTTGATATTTGGACAACAAATACTCTGAGCTTCGACGATAATCAACCTATTAGGCAATTTGCATTTTTTTTTAGGTAATCAATAGCTCGGTAATTTCTACTTTTCAGTGTTTTTGACCTCTTTTTTCATTCATTTCATACTGACCTTGTCCTTTAGCCTTCATAGTTGTAAAATATCATCAAAATAGAACATAATTAGACATTGATGACACTAATAATTGAACTAAAATAAGTGAAAATCTGCTGCTCATCAATAGTGTTGTAGCAAGGTATGATGGCTGCATGATGAAAAAGTTCTTCCGAAGAAAGTCTCTTGGCACTGCCTGTCATACATCGTGGCAAACCTTTTCCGGTCATGTCTAACCCTATTTTGGTTAAGTCGGATGTTTTGGTCATATAAGTACATGTGAAATATGATTTGAAGGGAAACCAGGCCAAGAACTAGTGACTATAACGTTTTCTTTCTTCTTTTATGTTATAAGGTTGCGGTACGTAGTTTGAGGCTTGATTTGTTTTCGATTTATCGCAATGGTTTAATTGTGTAATTATTTGATTGTCTAACCAATAATTAAACCATCTGCAAATCTAATCAAACTTTAAAGTGAAATTCCAGACGACAATTTAACAAGGCAAGTTTTGAACCTGTACGTTGGAGAACAAATTCAAAATTAGGACACAAATATGTTTAATTGATTGCTTTTACTGGAAATTATAATGTTTTCCTGATAATACTAATTTCATACGTACTAGGTTAACTTGAATAGGCAAGTAAGTTGTTGAAAAATTCTAGTAAATTTATCAAGCAATAAATCAAAGGGAAAAAGATAATAAATACTCTTAACCCTTTGAGAAAAGGCTCCTTGAAAGAAGTCATATGACATTTCTTAAGAAGTACTATATTTTAATTCAAAATCATTAAATCCCACAAAATTTTAAAACCCAAAACCATGACCATCTCGTTTACACCCTCAAAATTAAACGATAAATCATTCGGCCTTTTTCAATAAACTCCAAACGCCTATTTAGTGAGTTAAAAAAGTTCATAGTAAACCACATGGATATTTTTAGACTCAGTTAGGAGTCTTTACTTTACGCCAAATACATTAGTCAAATCTCAATATGATTGTTCGCAGAGGCATAGCCTACAATGTCTCGTGTCATGAAATTCCACAGCATGTTTGAAATTGGCTTAAGTCATCAGCGGCCCCTTAAAATTGTCCGCATAATTCACTTAGACACTTCAACTAATACTAGTACCAATTGAACACTTTTACCTATATAATAATCATTTCTATTAGACATTTTTTGATAATCAACAAAAAATGTGAAGAGTGTGTGATACACTTGCGGTGACGTGACAACATGACTAATTAAAAAATAACATTTGGCATTGGGCCCAAAAATAAAAAAAAACACATTTAATATCTAATTTTTTTGTAAAAAAAAAATAATGAAAATGTCAACCTATTCTAACCCACCTTACCCCATCCCACCCCAACCCCCTTTCATCTTCATCTTCTTCCCCAAAACACATTTTTTTCTCAAATTACAAAATCTTATTCTTTTCAAATAACTTCAAGATTAATTATTTTTCATACTAAGAGTGAAGAAGAAAGAAAATTTTGTTGTCGGTTATTCAATTCTACATCGATGACAAATGAAATTGATAACCCCAAAATTATTTCTTTCAATTTTTTTATATCATTTTTGATAAATTTAATGACCACATATGAATTTGAGTAAAAATCTTTGTTCGAAAATTGTGATAAATAAATATTGGCTAACTATTTTTATACGTAAAAGTCATTTATCTTTTTTTATCTTCTTCATACTTGTTCCTTGTCTTTATGAGATTTTGAAATAAATCATACTAAGACTTTCTTTCAAATGTGAATCTTTATAGTTGATTTTCATTTATCTTCATATTTGGAAGATATAAATTTTTGTATATAAAAAAAGAAAAAAAATAGTGTTGGAGCTAAAATGAAGAAAGTTTTGTAAACTAAATTATGAAGAAGATGATAGATAGAGAGTGGAGTGTTTTCTTTTTTGAAAAAAGTGTAAATAATGAAGAAAATATATTTTAAGTTAATTATAATGCAAGTGTCAATAAAAGAAGAAAAAATGTAAAAAGAAGAATAAAAAAGACACTATTTAAAGTCTTTTCACGCACTTCATGGAAGTGCAATACACATTTTTTTCCATATCAACATTTTGTATCTAATAGGTACATGTTTTGAACAATTTAGGTGCTCAATAGGTACAAGTCTCAATTGAGATGTCTAAGTGAATTATGCGGACTACTTTGAGGGGCGATATATGACTTAAAAGCCTTTAAAATTTAACTTTAGTTTATGTTGTAGTAGTGTGTGCCATTCATACTCGACTCACGGAAATAATTAGTAATAGCTTAATTTAGTTAATAGATCTAAGTCCAAACCTCTACTTATTGCTTATAATATACCTGTGTGTGTGCAGTAATAATTATTATAAAAAAAAGTGAATGCCAGAATCAACCCAAATCTTTGCTTCTAATAAAGAGCGTCAATTGTAGAATGCATTTGCACAAAGAGGAAATTTTTCTCTTCTAAGAAAAGATGGGTCTTGGACAGGAGGAGGAAACATCATATGCTTTTGCACAAGGAAAATGATTTCAAATGCGAAACACTGAATCTCCTCTTTTTGTAACAACCAAAGCTCCACTAGCAGAATGCATACCCTCAGGCCTTGCACCATACACTAACACAACAATACACACCCCATGCCCTCCCTATCTTTCTAAGCGAACACACCAACTGTTTGGACTGCAATCATCAATCCTTTTCTCAAAACAGACATGACCCTGCACCATTATAACTCTAAAAACAGATACTAGAAGAGATGAAACGACCTATAAAGATATATGTTATCTTTCCAGAGCAATGAAATAAAAAACATCAAAGACAATAAACACATCTGTGCTGTCTCGTACAAGAACAACATACAAGTGCACACTGCACCCACAAAAGTTGGTCAATGTTTCAGATGAGCAATCACTGTGCTTTGTTTTTTGCATCTTCTATTTCAAAGTAAAATTCAATTTTTGAAACTCAAAGCTTGATGAGATAACTAGTCATTACATAAAAGACACTAGAAGAAAACTCAAACAATAAACAAAATTGAAAAAATTACTTCAAGATTAACATGTTTCTGCAATTTAATAATAGTCAAAATTACTTGAACATTATTTTTACACCCCTAAGAAGGGCTAATACAATTTCTAATTTAAATGTGTGAGGCCAAATTCTCTGGAAGAAGGCAACCAGGAAGTTGACGGTGCCTGGGTTCAGATTCTATGGAAGTTAAATCGATAATGAAGAAGAAACCACAGAAGTACTTGCACAAACTTCCGACTTGCTCACCTATCATCTTCTTCGTACCACAGTATTTTGTGCACGTTGAGCACCAATTGCCTGTTGTCCTTGAGCCCCTGCTTGTCCGCTAGTCTGTTCTTCAGCCATGTTCATAGCTTGGGTCATAGCATTCATAACAATGAGTCCAAGAGGGATCAAATACATCCACTGAAATAAAAATCACAAGAAAAGAGTAAAAGATGAGTACAGGAAATATTTACAAGAAGCTAATTCAATCAGACTCACATATTTAGCCCAGAAAGATCTCTCTGGAGGCTGCACTTCGTCGCCCTCTGCATTCTCTCCTACAACAGCTTCTGAAAATATAGGTGTTCTGTTCCAAAAGAATTTTTATTACTGACTAGCTTTAACATTCAAAGTAAGTTCTAGCTACTTCAAGAAAAGTACTGGGACGAATTCACGGAAATAAGAAATCAGGGAGTTTTACAAGAAAAGCAGAGTTTAAAACTCAAATGAACCATTAATCATCCACAATTAATCTTGTTGATGATGTTGAAGTGAGTATGCCAATGGGGCCTTCCCTCAAAATGTCAAAGAACCCTTCAACTAGTGGAAGTGGACCATCCACCTCTAGCAATGTCAAGGGTCCTTCAATCTCTATTTCTCGCAAAAACCAAATGAAAAGAGAAAAGGTGGACCTATTATTTTAGAGAGCAACGGGAAAAAATCGGGTCCTTTTGCTAGGTGGATGTATGATGCAGGGCTACATTTCAATTATATTAATTACAGAGTTTTGGTAAATTCATTGAGGCAATAGGCTGATATTGGCCGGGAATGAAGCTCACCCTATCACGAGGTAAAAGTTCTTTGTCTAAAAATGAGGTGGAAAGATGAACCGAAGTAGCTTGCTTTGTCTTGGAAACACGAAGTAGGAAGATGAACCAACCAAACCAGCAGATACTCCTATGGCGTTGGGACATATTTGGAAAGCCAAAATTCCACACATAGTAGCTTGCTTTGTCTAGTTATTGGCAGAGGAGGTAGTGCTGAAACAAGATAACTTGATGGAAAAGGGGACCCCTTTATGTTCCAGATGTTTTGGGGGAACTGCAGAACCAGTGGTTCATATATTTATACATTGCAAGGTCACAAGTCAACTGTGGAGATTATTCCTCAGACTCAAACAGATCTTGGTCCATGACAGGGAAAATCACAAAAGCATTGCGTAGTTGGGAAGAAGCAGGAGTACAAGCTAAGAACAGAAACAACTGGAGAATTGTACCTATAGCTATATGGTGGACAATATGAAAGGAGAGGAACATTAGAGTTTTTGAGAATATGGAGAATACTATACAACAAGTCAAAATGAATTGAATTGACTTTATGTTTTTGGTGTAAACAGATAAACTCTAATGATATTTCCCCTATCATTGATGTCTTAGACCCATTATAAGGATAGTACAGTAGATTTTGAGGTCTTTTGTAAATATGATTTCAGTACATCCCATGTACTGTGTTACAGAAATATAAACACTTGCCTGTCAAAAAAAAAAGCAATCAAGATTGTAGAGGATTATAAGGTCCAATGGAAAACTTATGAATGTTCCATTATGATGGATAAATGGACAGCAAAAAATGGAAAAATGGCATTAATGTTTTGGTGAATTCTCCATGGTAGTGTGTTCATTGAATCTTATGATGCTACTGACTCTTCTACTGATTCTAATAAAATGTTTAACTTGCTTGCGAAAACTATCTTGAAAATAAGCAAGGAAAACATCGTACAAGTTGTGACTAATAACGTAAGTGAGAATACGAAAGTAGGTGACATGTTGAAGGAAGTGTTGCTGTATATTCTCTAGACTCTTTGTGTTGCTCACTGTATCAACTTGATGTTTGGCGACATTTTCAAGAGAACCTTGCATTCTACAGGTGAATAACTTGATATTTAGTTTTCCTCTTTAATCTTCATACTAATTTTCTATACTTACTAACTAAAAAATTGTTTTTGAACAGTTTTTGCTAAGACTATTAAGATATATTCTTATATCAGTCAAAGGGTGCTGTTGTCGAACACGATGAGGAGATACACAGAGCAAAGAAAATTGGTAAAATCCACCAACACAAGATTTGCAACAGTTTTTATTGACTTGGTATAATGTTTATATGCAAAATAAAAATTTGAAAACCTTGTTTATGTCAACTGAATGGAATGAGAGTGTCTATGCAAAGGAAGCTCTAGGGAACGAAGTTGTGAGACACATCATTGGTCCAAATTTTGGAACGACATTGTTCAAGCACATAAGTTGGTGGCCGTTTAGTTAGTGTACTTTGTTTAGTTGATGGGGAGAAAAAACCACCAATGGAATACATTTGTGAGGGCATGGATAGGACCAAGAAAGTATTGAAAAGGCATTTCATTATGATGACAGGAAATATGGGAGAGTTTTTGAGATCATTGATGCAAGGTGGACGGATCAACTTCATCAATCTTTGCATGCAGCCGGACATATTTTGAACCCATGTCTCTTTTATAAAATAATGACATGAAGACTTTAGTCAAAGAAGTGTGGCGGGATATCATGCATGTGTTGAGAGGATGATCCAGATCCCAATTTGCAAGACAAAATATGGGAGGAGCCTGGTGTTTACATGAAAGTTGATGGGCTACTTGAAATGGAATCAGCCCTTTCAGAAGAAACCTTAAGGACACCAGGTGAGCATTTCAACCTTTAATTGTGTTTAGAGCTTAAGCTTTTAAGCTATTACTTATTAACTTTTAAAATAATTCTTCTACAGTTGAATGGTGGATGCAATATGATTATAATGTCCCAAACTAGCAACAATTTGCTATTAGAGTTTAAATTTTAATTTGTAGCTCATCCAGTTGCGAGAGAAACTGGAGCATGTATGAACATGTGAGAAACTATACTACACTATTACTAAATTTAATACCATCACTCCTAGTACTTACTTTCAACAACTTCTGTGCACATTCACCCGCAATTCACGGATTGCCTTCAAGTTCTAATTTCATTGTTGTCATTACATACGTACTTACCATGGAAGTTCTATTCTTGATATGCTATCTGCCTTACATAGTCGGTACATTTTTTCAGTAATAATGTCTGCTTGTTGGGGACGTATCCACAGGTCAAGGTTTACAAGTTGATAAAACCACAGACAGATTCAGACTACCAGCTGTGAACTCGTGAGCTCCATCTCTTCCTAGAGTAGCTGAGTCTAGTATTTTGATGTCATATGAATATACAATTTTTGGGTAGGTCGGGCTCTGTCCCAACCATAGGACGGTTATCAGACTCTTAAACGCTTTTGTAGGTAGGTGACATTTTTTATGTCAGTTGATATCAGTGGTCTAGTGGTGGTTGCAGGTTGGTTTGCTCGGTCAGGTATGGCACTGGATGCAGGTTTGAGGCGTGACACCCCACCGGACTAAATTGACATATTTGGCTTTTCAATTGTCAAATCAATCAATTTTAAATATACCAAAGTATATTTGTCTTTTCAATATAAAATCCAAGTATTTGGAAACTATAAGAAAGATACTACTCGTTGGAAATATTTTAAGATGATAATATTTAAATTATCCTTCTAAAAAAAACGTTTAAATTATAATGCTCCTGAGGAATCTCCTTCGAAGTTTAATAAGGTTCCCTTTCTAGAAGAGAAATAACAATCTTTCTGGAGAAATGGTGTAAAACTAATACAACCAGTAGATCATTCTTTTTTTTAAAAAAATCTCATATGATATAACGAGTTAAGGGTGACACACTACAAGGCTATGTTGCTCGAACTCTTAAAAAATGTGATCAGGTGCCTGGTCGATCCTTCAAAAGTAGGCAATTTTGGAGGATCCAACATGCGTGCACCAACAATTTTAGAAACTCCGAGCAACTTAGCAGTTAGGTACTTGAAGGCTCTCTCAAGGAGATTACTAGCTAATATGAACTCCCTGATTAAAATACATAGTAATATCCGCCAATTATCAATGAATCTGAAAATCATCAGCTGGAACGTAGGGGATAAACAGTGAAGGAAAAGGGGGGTTAGTACAAAGAGCAACGCAACAATGGAGGGCAGATATTTACGTGTTAGTAGAGACTAAGTTAACTGAGAATGAGACACAAGTGTATAGCCAATTATGGCAAAATAGGTGAATGGGGGAATGTCATTTGAATGCAATTGGTAGAAGTGGAGGGATAGTTGTGATATGGGATAAGAGATACTGGAGAGGGGAAGTGATAATCAAAGCCTGACTGTCAAGTTTGAAGGCATCAACCAGGTGCTTACCTGGTTCCTTAGTGCAGTATATGCTTCTTGTGATACTGTGGCTAGGAGAGAACTATGGCAAGAATTGATCAACATCAAGGAGGCTTGCAATGGACCGTGGGTGTCTTGTGGTGACTTCAGTCTCACAAGATATCCGAATGAAAGATCAGAAGGGAACAGAATAATAGGGGCCATGAATGAATTTACAGAGTGGATAAATGAGATGGAATTCATTGACCCCCCACTCTTGGGGGGTACCTACACTTGGAGAAGAGGAGACACTCGCACATCAGCTTCCAGAATCGACAGATTTTTATATTCATCTCAATGGGATGAATCGTTCACTCAAATCAAACAGAATTTAATGCCCAGATTAGGGTCTGACCATAATCCCATTGTGCTTGATTGTGGGGACCTAAACTTTAAGAAGACATACTTTAAATTTGAGCAAGGGTGGATGGTTTTGCTGAGAAGATCAAGAAATGGTGGATGTCCTTCAATGTGACTGGCACAGGATCTTACATTATGGCTTCTAAATTAAAGATGCTGAGATTGCTTTCAGAGGATGAACTTCTTCAAAAGGTTCACCTAGCTATGGAGTTTGAGGAGGTGGCTAAAGAAGAAGAAATAGCTTGGAGACAAAGATCTAGGATACAATAACTCAAACGAGGTGATAAAAATACAAAAAAAATTCACAGGATTGCAACAGCCCAGAAAAGATACAACTCTATTGATACTCTATTGGTGGAGGGGAACTCAATTTCAGATCCAGGAGAGATTAAAAGAGAAATAAAGTTTCTATAAGAAATTATACGCAGAAACTGAACAGTGGAGACCTTATTTCAAGCTGCAAGGACTGAATACTATTAGCGAAGAAGAACGAGATTGGTTACAGAGCCCTTTTGAGGAGGCTGAAGATGCTGAACAGCATCAAATCATGTGCCAGCGACAAGGCTCCAGGCCCTGATGGCTTCCCCGTGAGTCTTTTCCAAAACTTCTGGGAAGTCTTGAAAAATGATTTTATGAAGGCATGAATGCAGTCAATCAGTTTCATGGGAGACGTGAGTTTGAGAGGAGTCTCAATGCCACCTATGTGGACCTTATTCCAAAGAAGTCAGGGGCTGTCGAATTGAGAGACTTCAGACGAATAAGTCTCATTGGAGGAGTTTACAAAGTATTTGCCAAGCTCCTGGCAGAGAGAATGAAGAAGGTAATTAGCAAGCTAGTCAACAGGCATCAAATGGCCTTTATCCAGGGAGACAAATTCTAGACGCAGCCCTAATAGCAAGTGAATGTGTTGATTCAAGGATCAAAGTTAAAACCCCAGGGATCATGTGTAAGCTTGATATTGAGAAGGCTTATGATCATGTGAATTGGAAGTTTCTTCTCAATATTTTGAAACAAATGGGGTTTGGAGAACAAAGGTTGAAGTGGATAGAATTTTGTATTAAAACTGTTAGGTTCTCTATTTTGGTGAATGGAGAACCTATTGGTTTTTTTCCCTCAGAAAGAGGACTGAGACAAGGTGATCCTCTTTCCCCTTTCCTTTTCATTTTAGCTATGGAAGGACTAAATAGTATGGTGAGGGTAGCCACAACTGGCTAAAAGGTTTCAAGTTGGGCAACCAAGCTGGAGTAGATGTACAGATTTGCCATCTTCTCTATGCAGATGATACTATGATCTTTTGTGAGGCCAAGGAAGAGCAGGTATGTTTCATCAGGATAAACCTAATAGTTCTTGAGGCAGTGTCAGGGCTTTTTGTGAATTGGAGGAAGAGTAGTATGTTCCAAGTTAAAGATGTATCTAATATTCAGTGCCTGGCAAATATTTTGAGCTGCAAAGTAGAAAATCTGCCAACTACATACCTGGGGATGCCACTAGGTAACACCCACAAAGAGTTAGAGATATGGGATGGAGTAGTGGAGAAGACAGAAAAAAACTTAGCCACCTGGAAGACACAATATCTTTCCTTCGGAGGAAGAATTACATTGATCAATGCAGTCCTGGATGCCCTACCAACTTATGTTATGTCCCTTTTCCCCTTACCTGCGAAAGTGGAGGAGAGATTGGATAAATTGAGGAGGAAGTTCCTCTGGTTGGGCAACAAGGAAGGAAAAGGTATTCACCTGGTCAAATGGCAAACTGTACAACTTAGTAAGCAAGCTGGTGGGCTGGGTGTTAAGAACTTGGGGCTGCAAAACATGTCTTTTATCGAAATGGTTGTGGAGGTTTGGTGAAGAGGATCATGCTCTTTGGAAGGATGTTATCATCAGCAAATACGGACAGACTGAACAATGGACAACCAACACTGTGACTAACGCTTATGGGGTCTCAGTTTGGAGAACTATCAGAAATTTGTGGCCTAAATTGTCCGGGAGCATAGGTTATAAGGTGGGTGAAGGGACTAGAATTCTATTCTGGAAAGACAAATGGATCGGCCAGAACTCCCTCATGGAGGATTTTCCAGATTTACTCTTTCTGTGACAATCCTGAAGCATCCATTGCTGAGACCTGGACTAACCAAGGATGGAATATCATCTTTAGGAGGCTTCTAAATGACTGGGAGATTGAGAGTGTGGCCAGCCCAGTATTGTGAATGGCGAGCGCCTCATCGCCTTTGGCGAGAGGCGAGGCGAGGCCTCCTTGCCATTCCCCACTGAGGCGAGGCGGTATGCAAAAGGCGGCCCATGGCGACCCATGGCGACCTAATGGTGCCAGAAAAGGCGGTGCCTTTTTTATTTTTTTTAAAAAAAATATTTGACTTAACAATATTAGTCAAAATTAGGGCTTTTTTTTTATATTTTCAAAATCTGCTGCTGCGCACTCTTCTCCCCGACTCTCTTCCCCTCGCGATCTCTTCTATTGGTCTCCATCATCTTCGAGTTGCTACTGCTGAAGACCTGAGGTATACCTCTTTTTTTCTGTTCTTCTTCAATTTTCATTTCAGACTTTTAGTTCTGTTTTCTTCAAGTTTTCTTCACTGCTTTTTTTCCCTCTATTTTCTTCACTCTGTTTTGTCCCAGATTACTGTAAAATGCCTTCTGTTTTCACTGTGCTGTGAGTCTATGACTGCTGTCCGTTATTTTTTTGAAAAAAAAATTAATTCATTCTAAAGTATTATAGTATTTGTAAGATATGTAATTGCTATTGAATTTTGAATATTATATGTGCAATTCAAAATTTTTAATTTTTGGTATTAATTGGCGCCTCGATTCAAAAAGGCCAATGCCTCGCCACTTGCCTCGCCGCGTGACGAGGCAGGCCCTTATCGCCTTTTGTCGCCTCTCGCCGTCCAAAACACTGAGCCAGCCTACTGCAAAGGTTGTACGATTTCTCTGGTTTAAATACCAGCCCTGATACAATCAGATAGAGACACAATAGGGATGGAGAATTTTCAGTTGAAAGATTGTACAGAAGAAATCTGATCTGACAACCTGGGAACATCCCTGGACCTTGGAAACAAATATCGAAATCTAATATCTCTACCAAGATTAAGGGTTTCACATGGAAGGTATGTAGAGAGCATGTCTCACTCAGGAGAAACTGAAAAAGAGAGGTTTTGAGATTGTCTCAACGTGCTTCTTTTGCAAGGAAAAGGAGGAAACAAATAGCCATTTGTTCCTCCATTGTAGAGTGACTTCTCAGGTGTGGTATATGTTTCTTAATCTCATCAAAAAAACTCATCCAAAAACCACGGATGATGCCTGAGCATACGACAGATCTTCTAACCTGCTGGATGAGAAGAGGTGGGAGTACAAAACAGAGAAAATGGTGGATCCTAGTTCCTTCTTGCATATGGTGGTCAGTCTGGAAGGAAAGAAACAATAGATCTTTTGAGAATACTACTAATCCAATGCAGAAAGTAAAAGAAAACTGTATTAATAGTTTATATCTTTGGTGTAAAGAAGAGGGTATAGATGAGGTAGAACAGCTAGTAGACTTCTTAGGCTATCTGTAATTACGATTACTTGCACTGTAATTTTTTTGATGGTTGACAGCATACCCACATTGCTGAGCAATATAACTTTACCTTGCTCAAAAAAAAAAAATTGCTTTATGCAAAAGGAGAATACAAAGTCGAAGAAAAAAAGAAATAAAAATTACAATGACTTGCCTGGGTGCCTGCTCAGTAGGTTTTAGGACTGTATGCGAGTTAAAGGACCATTTTGCAGGCTGAAACAGAAGCACCAAACATAATATCAGTCATAGGATTAGCATCTTATTACATGAAATTCCTTTCCTCTCCAGCACCATAAAATATGAGAAGGGAAACAAAGAGATAAAAGAAAAAGTAAAAGAACATGGGTTTCAATCAAATACAAGTTTTTAATGGGTTCATGCACTTAAATTGTTGGGGAAAATACAACTGCCAAGTGGTGAAATCATGAGGTACTTCTAGCTACAAATATTGATATATGACCATTTCAAAAGAATATTAATATATGAGGTTTACAAGAATACCCGCAAAAGAAAGGGTGTAAAAGAGATAAATGTGCAAGTTAGGGGAGGTTTGTATGTATTAAGCCTAACGTTAATGATACTTGTTTTCAAGTTTTATTTGTGATAGTTGAATTTGGAAATCGTGTAGCAGCCCTACAACTCGGGGAAACTTTGTTCACACCTTACGGTTTGTAGGGGTTAAAAGGTTTATTTCATGATTAGTCAGTCCTAGGTGCTGGTCATGGCTTCAAATTGGACCGTGATAATCGTAATATTAGAGCTTATGATTTCACAGGATTCTATGAACCATGGAGTAGACTAGCTTCAAATTGGGTCATGCTAATCGTGGTACTAGAGCTTCTGTTTACACAGGATTCTTCAAATGGAGCACAGTGTCAGGTGTCGTCTCATATTTCGCATATTGTGCACCAGTCTAATAAGCAGGAGGCTACAAGATTTTTTCTTTTTTTGAATATAAGCAGGAGGCTACAGGATATTTTAGAATCAAATCAGTTCTTTCTTTCAATAGATGCATTTAGTCCCTAGACGCTGGTCATGGCTTCAAATTGGGTCGTGATAATCGTGGTATTAGAGCTTATGATTTCATAGGAATCTATGTATCATGGAGCAGTGCCAGGTATAGTCTCATTTATATCGTGCGCCAGACTAATAAGCAGGAGGCTATAGGATATTTAGAACCAAATCAGTTCCTTCAATCGAAGCATGTAGAGTCAGTCTGAGACACTTGTATAACTTTTTATGGATATGGCAAGAACTAGGGAATCAGCTACATATGAAAGAGGAGACACAACCATTGGCCCAGAGGTGGCAGCAGACGACAGGGAACCCCCACTAGAGGTCAAGACCAAGGCTGAGACGGGTCATGTCCCGGGACATGTAGGGGCGAAGGTCGACCCCGATTTGAGCATCCAGGGCACTGGAGTTGCTTGTTGTGTAGAGGACATTGTAAAGTAGCAGCAGGCACCACTTCCTATGGTAACAGAGACAGGCCCAGTTGGAATGAAACAGGCCATAGAGCTATTACCTGAAATTGCTTCTGGGCAGGCTCAAAAGGAAGGTTGAGAGCTGCAGATAGGCAGACAGATAGTCTACTGGAGAATCTGGATGCTTGTGACTGAACTTTTGAAGTTAAAAACTCCTCTCCCCGGATCTAAGGAAGATGAGACCGATGATGCAGATGAGGGCCCTCAGTAGTTCCTTTTTTGAAAAGGAAAGTAACAGTGGACCCTCAGTAGTTCCTCAAGGCTATTCGGAATGCAACCAACATCATGAGTATCAGTTCCTTTTTTTGAATTATGCATAAATGATTAAAGATCTGAAACAAAGTCTTAATATCATTAACATTTCTACAAAGATGGCAATTCACCAATTCCATCTATTCACCGCTACAGCCATCACCCACCATTATCAACAACCACCACTGTTGTCAGTCACTACAATCATCTATCACTACCATTAGACACTATCTAAAATCATCACCGCCAACCACCAGTACAACACCACAACCAATCAATATGACAATTATCACATCAATCACCACTATATATCTCCAACCACCGTCATCATTCAGCACGACCATTAGTTCCCGCTATCACCCATCAACTGTCACCACCAACTACTACCATCAGCTTCTACTACCAACCACCATCCTCAATCAACACTAACAACGACCACCGCTAGCCACTGCCACCACCACCAATCGTCATATATGTTTTTAAAAATATTAGATTGATTTTTATTTTATCAAACTTTATATTTTATATTCTAAATGAAGACAAATTTTACACATTCAGATGTTGAAAAAATAACAATCACAATTTTTTTTTTGATAAAGCAATCTTAATTATTAAGTACAGATCTTAATACATCTTAATATTTAAATGTATATTCATATTCAGACATCTAAATCTGAATGCACATCTTAATCTTCAAATGTGCACCCAAATTCAGATGTCTTAATTTAAGTAAGAACAATGAGGGCTTGTAGTTTAATAGATTGGAACGCTATGCATCCACCTGGTACAAAATGAGAGTGCCAAAGTGTTGAGATTTATTTCCGGATTAGTGGACCCATTATATGACAAGATAGAATTCAAGATGAATGACTTATCGCATGAGGCAGTTGTTGACTATTCTAGAGAGTTAGAAGATAGAGGCAAGGGAAGAAGAGAAACCAGAAAGGAAGGTAAGAAAGGCTAGGATTAAGGGTTCTTTTGAGAGGCATTGATTCTGGTAAGGGAGGTGGCGTACGTGGTTGTGATATAACGTTCATGTAACACCCCCGAATCTAGTACACTAAACTAGGGCTAGGTGTGTGGGGGTAACAAACCATGGAAGAGGGCGAGGGCCTATAATACCTAGGAAATTGTTGAAGGAAAACATTAACGTCCCAAGCCAACTTGGCGAAGGGCAGTGTGGTCACCAAAGTGACTTGTCGATCCGCCAAGTGCACCCACAGTCACCTAGTGAACTGTCCCCATGGCCCTAGGTACTGGAAAATAGGGCGAGCCAGGTCTGAACTGACCGTTCTAGTGGGCTCATCGCCAAAGGCCTCCTCCATCAGCAAGTGGTCTGCCTCCAATGAGTGAGCTACTGGAAAATTAGGTGAGCCAAGGGCTTACTTGGCAAGTCGCCAAAAGCCCTTGGGCAACGCTCAGCGTGCAGCTGCCTTAGAAATAAGTTGGGGTCTTTAATTTCTTTTCATAGTTTTCTTAATTCTATACAACGTCGTTTTGCTCTTAACCTAGAAAAGTATACAAGGATTATATTCCCAAATTTCCCCCAACTTAAGTCATTCTCTCAAGAACCAAAAAGAAAATCCAAGATCTTCCTCTCAAATATTTCTTTCTCTAGAACTTGAAGAAGAAGAAAGAGTCCTCAAGCATTTATGGGCTTCGTAATCAAGGTATAATGGCTTTTCATCCATGGGATCCTTTCTCCCATGGAGTCCCCAGGGATTCCCCAATTGTGAAGTCTAAATCCCGAATTCTAGTTAGGGTTTCTTCCAATATTGTGAGTTATGATGAATGTTGATCAAATTGAGTGATTATGATTGTTTATGATTGAATTGGTAGGAATACATGTTTTTGGGATGAAATTACATTTACCCATGCCTATTCCATGTTTCTAACCTAGAATTGATGAAATTGGGTTTTATGCATTGAAGGGAAACTTTATGGGTTTAGATATCCCCTTATAGGATTGATGAATTATGACTAGAGTTGCTTGAGATTAAAGCATATATGATGACTATGATGTTAATTGCTAGAGAGTAAAGCATAGATGATGATCATGAGATGTGATGCTTTGAGAGTAAAGCCTAGACTGTGAATTATTGATTGTTGATGTTGTAGTATGGAAGGGATACTTCCTACCATGAGCTTCTAAGCATGATTGTATTAATGTGAAAGGTTTACTCTCATGAATGATTCTAGGTTGAAAGGATTTCTCACCTAAAATGAATCTAGACTAACATGTTAAATAATTGATGAGGCTAGAGGCGACTAACCTTGACCTCCATATGTGAAAGGGTATGTGGTGATTTCCCGTACTCCCTTCGAATTGAACAGAAGTGATTCCTCACGTTTCTATTACGGTGAATGGACATGGAGGTGAGTACCATGATCCTTATGAAATGATGTGGAGGCGAGTACCCGTGTCACATGATGTGATAGTGGAGGCGAGTACCCATGATCTTAAAGTAAGGCAAGAGGCGAATACCCATTAGCCTTTGAAAGCTAGGCAAAGAGGCGAATTCCCATTTCTTTAGAAGTATGGATAATGTGATTATGTTATGAAGATGATTAGCATGGAGTGTTGCTAGATATGCCATCCATGATGTAAGCTTGATTAGAAGGCAGATGACCTAAGTCTTGGCTAAGTTCAAGTGATGTAACTTAAGGAAGTATTCCTCTATCATTATGATGTTTTATATGTATTGATTATGCTTTATGCCTTATATTGACTAATGTCTATGTTTATGTTGTTTATGCAAGCTATCATGTTTAGTACATGTTTGTACTAACACATACTCTTGCCTACATTTCTTATCAAAATGTAGGGTCCGGCGACATTGGTTCTCACGTTGATAAAGGAGTGAAGATCTGGTGAGTCCTAATAGCATTGGAGGATTTGACTACCACTTTCCATTATGTTTTGGACTATTGTATGGGCTGTGTCCCAAGGATATTTTGTTGTTCATGTTTAGATGGTTTGAGACAAGTGTTTATAGACTTCCGCTCGATTTATAAAAGACACTAATTGTATTGAAATATTTTAAAATTTTTCGTACCATCTCCTACTACTTTATGTTATGATATGCTAAATGGCTTGTACACCTTGTTACATCTAGGGGTACCCTGGGTCATGACAGTTCAAATAGTAGAGAAAATAAGAGTTTCTAATGGAAAAAGAAACTTCCACAACCTGTAGATTTTCCTGCTATTTTGCATATTTTGGTGTACAGCTGCATACAAGATATTGTAGGGCTCATTATCCACCAAATTTTGAACCAAGCGGCATGTATCCTTGAGGGATTTCTCGATTATTACTAACTGTCTAATTTCTCTATTGCATACCTCCTGTATGGGATGGTATATTTTCCCACAATAGAACACTTCACTAGTAAATAGTAGTTGAAAGAAGTTGAATCAAATTCATTTTGCCTCAATCATTGGGTCTAAAACAAAAAATCAAAGTTTAGCAAATACAGAGGTTCATTGAAGAAGAAGCTTTGATTTCCATAGAAATCTAAAAATATTAATGTTATTTTCCAAAAAAATTACCATATTAGCTTTTGGTAGTAGTTCTTTAGAGACTAATAAATGCTATCAGAGGAGAACACGTAAATTGGGATGACTGTCCAGACTATGTACTTAAGTTACCACTCCGACAGCTTAAAACTTTCAAATAGAGTAGTATCAATCCATTGCCTAATCAAAATTTCAAGCTCAAATTTGGGTACTAGTGATTACACACATGTGATATGCTTCATATAAGTTGGATTGAAAGGATGGACAGATTGGAAGGTGGATAGGGCGCTCTAAGACTTATGGATCAAACTTACAAACTTCAATTGACGAGGGTACTGGCATGCACCAGGGGAACCATAATTAACAGCCAGAATATTCACACCGTCCTGCAATGAACATATTAAAGTCAAATTCCTGACAAGGATAAAAATGAAAGATTTGCACAATAAAGTGTACATTGTATCAACTTAATTAATTTGCATAGTAACGAAAAATCTGACCTCACATGTCTTTACTGAAATTCAAGAGACAACACTTAAACTAGACAAGGTAAACCACCTTTCTGCCTTAGAAGACAAGGCAAAATTCAATGCATGCCAAGTTGAAAGATAAAGGGAAAAAGTTCATGTTGAAAAATCTGAGTTTAACTTGTTTTCTTTACTTCGTACAGTAGCCGCAGTACTTCACAAAATGCTGTTATCCAAGATAAAACAATATTCTTAACCAGCTCCGTCCAACATCAAAAGCAGAAAGAAAGGAAAAATGAAATGGAAAAAAACATATTATATCAGAACCAACATAGTCAAATTAGGTAATAAGTATTGGGTTGAATATTACCATATGTATGAGAAAGTGCTCCTCCAAACCATCCCGTGGAAGACACCTCTGAGGCAAAAATAGTAACAGCAGTTAGATAATAAGCATGTCATTTGAATCTTGCAGTATTCCAAGATAATTTAAGTACGATAAGGCAAAATCACAATGTAAATTTAACTGCCTTAAACGGAAAAATATGAGTATAAAGGATGTGACTGACAAGGGAGAGCTCCCAAGTTAGAAGAAATTCAAAGCAGTCGAGAGATTTAATTGATTTTTGCCCGTGTTAGATGTTTACACTCCTCAAAAACAGAAACTGGTGCACAGAGCCATAATATGAATTATCTAGTCTATCCCTCTTCTCAATTTATTCCTCTATTTTCCTAGATGTGAACACCTTTGCGGAAAAGTTGTTAAGAAGTCTCTTGAATACTCAATGAATCATTTTAATCTATAAAAATTTACGGCTATCTGGCTGCTCCGCCACCTCAGCCTTTAGTCCCCAGTCTCTTCATATTAATCTTTATTTTGTACCTTGGATTTGCCAATTTTTTAGAAGTTATCATACATAATTATATAAATTTTCCTAGGGAAATATGAACTTTCAGAAGAAAAACCCAAACAACAAGGCTTAAAGGCACATACGCAAATCCAGTAGCACCAGGAAGAAAGATTAAGTTCCAATATTTCTATTAAAACTCTATGACAAACTACAGCAATTAAAGTTGGGACATACATGAAACTACTCTTTTTAGACAATTAAATTTTACTGGTTAAAATGCCCTTGCTAGGTAAAAGAAAACATCCCAAGAAAGTATGTATTAAATCACATGAAAGTTTCTTCCCTGAAAGAAGGTGTCCACATATATGCCCTTGCTAGACAATTGCTCTGTCATTTACCACAATACTCGACTTTTTAACCCTAAGACTTCAATGTCGTAGGAAAACACAAGTGCCAATCAAAAAGAGTCAATGTCATTAGGCATAAAGGCATGGGCAAACATCAGATCACACAAAGGCAAATATTCATGTCATTTCAAACAACGCCTTCCTTTTAAAAAGAAAAAAATTAGTAACTTAGTGTATTTCTAGCAATAATTAAGATCAATCAGTAAATTGGTTGTACTTGCACCATATTTACATCAAAAGACTCGTAAGAAACTGGAGCTATTCTAGTCTTCTATAGGGAGCTTAATACATCTAGAATCTCCACAGTTTCTACCAAGTGAGACTCTCTACACCGAAAACTACACCTTGCTTTTGAAATTTCAAATGTACAAACAAATACACATATGCTGATAATTTTAAACACAATAGTTCCAAACTTACTGCTTTCACTGAGGAAACAACATATTCTCTGCCTGAAAGGTTCAATACGTTGGATGGTACTCTTATTTTGTAAAAGTCATCACCTTTCAAGAGTTTCTGCATCAAATAAAATTCACAATGATAAGTCAAAAGTACAACAAAGGCAGTATGATTGTAAGAATGGAAAATTCAGTTACTTCGAAATCCTCCTTCTCTGGTCCAATAAAAGCATTTCTGGAGAAGCGAAGCTTTGTCAGCGTTTGCATCTGTGACAGAAAGTGGCAAAGATCTATTAGTGGCCGGATGATAAAAAGTCAATCGTCAATCGCCATCCAAGACATACTCATGTTATTGCCAAAAATCTATTGGTGACGGTAACCAAGTGTTTATAAAAGCGCAAAAAAAAATGAAAAGATCCATGGGAACTGAAGTGAAAAGCGAGAAAAGAAGTTCACGCCTCTTTGAAGTGAAGTGCTTACAGGTAAAAGGAATAATGTCAACCAACTATGGATTTAGTACAAAAACATCAAATTGCAATTAAAATAATAAAGCTCAACATCCAATATACAATATTGCGATATTACCTACTCCTACGAGCTGATGTTCAGAGGCAACCAATTCTCATTGAAATCAATTCATGCACCACAATTTGAAGCGCATACTTCTCTTAAGACCATGGCTCCACCCATGAAAGAAGAATAAGCCCTCGCTTCATCGCTTTAAGCGACAAAGCAATGACTTGTAGCAAAACAGACAACCAACACTGAAGACATACTCTTAGACTCACACTCACCATGGCTATTAGATCCTCTCTCCAACAATGTTTATGAGTCCAATTATATGGAATGACTATTAAGATCACAGGTTCTATAATATTAAAATGACAGTACAGAAAAACTAGAGACTAATCAACGCTTTGAAGAATTTGCAATGCCAAGTATAAGCTCATTCCCATCTAGACAGAAATTTGCACCAATAACCATCGTTCCTTACCAACTACAACACTTGAATTAAATACTATTGCAAGGCACCCAATAATATCTGAGTACAGACAAGTGTAACTCCTGTATACTGCCCATCAATATTTAAACAACATTTGTGCTCTTGCAAGTGACATCTTGAAGTCATTAATGTATTTTTTTTATTTTTTTTGTGATGACAAGGAAACCAGTAGACTCCAATGTGGAAGTCCCAAGCTTAAAAGGAGTGGTTAGTGGCATTACTCTTTTTTGCTTTTTATCAAGATAAGGTGCTCTTTTATGAGGCTGCAAAGAAATTATGGTTCTATGAAATAAATACACAACTTGCTGATATCTGCAACTTCATATTACTCAATAATAACTATAATAAAAATTAGTTATTAGGACAGTTAAAAGAAATAATACTACTCAATATTAGTTAATACCAATCTGTATTCAGCAATATATATATATATATATATATAATCAATCATAACAATTGTTTGACAAAAGTAAGTGATTAATAATGACCTGGGAACCGTGAGAAGAAGATTTAAGGCGAGCAGTAAAGGTGCCGGCACGGGAGAAGTTGGAGTCACCAAAGGCATGTTCCAGAGGGAACTGGATCTTTGAATCTGAATCAGAGACCAACCTCTTCCGGATCGACTGAGGTGTTGCTGCGTTGACGTTGTTGGGATCGGAACGGGATCGGGATCGGATTCCACCTTCGAGACCAAACTCTTCATCGTCGACGAGAAGCTCGTCGGACTGGAAGCCAGAAGACGTTGTAAGGATCAACAGCAGGAAGAAACCGGCTGCAACTACAGTTTTGGTTCTCATTATTCAAGGATTTTTCGGAGTAAACACTTAACAACTAGTATGCTTCCTCTGGATTCCTGGGCTAAATAAGTGTAGTAAAATGGAAAAAAAAAAAAAATATTCCACATCCTAAATAGTAGTACATGTTATTTCTTCTTTTTTTTTTTTCCTTAAAATTTCATACGTTAATTTTCTATTTGTTATGCTAAAAACAGAAAAATAAAAGGAAAATTAATTTATAATATAATCCCATAAAACACACAATTATGTTTTAATTATTATTAACCAATCCCCAATAACAATTTCAAAAATTCAAATTTTAAAATTTATCATTCAATATTCTTTCAACTTTGATTCAAACTTTTCACAAATTTGAAAAAGATACATCATTAATATATCAACCTTGCTAAGACATTTAGAATTTATGAATCAAAAGTAAGGTATGAACCATACTAAAGCGATGAAAACATTGTTGGGGGGGGGGGGGGATTTGTTTGTGAATAAGAAATCGACAATTATAGTTGAATTGTAGATTGATGAATTGATGAAAAACTAGACATCACATACATCGTAGAAGGTAATTCATTTTCAATAGATTATTGTGTGGTAATATATATATATATATATATATATATATATATATATATATATATATAGGTCTTATTCTATTTTTAAAATACTGTAGTTCGTATAAAAAACATTATACATGTATTTATTGTCCATAACATTTATATTTGTGAATAATACATTACATTGTAGTAATTAATATGTATATCATCTACATATTATAAACTTTGAAATTTATTGAATATGATATACATTGCGCTAAACAAATGATGTAGGTGTCTTAAAATGTTACTCGGAGAACCGCTCTTAGAATATAAAAGCATATTGTAGGAGAAACTCAGATATTCCAATGGTGTACATACATGTAAATTCCTGCCTTAGAAAGAGCTAAATTTGGAAAGCGCTAAGTTGGAAATAGCTAAATTGAGAATTATGCAAGTTATGCTTAAGTTGTGAGTCTTGGATCAACTTCAAACGGTCATAAATTTTAGTACACGATGAGTTGGATGGCTTATAATATATAAAATGAAAGGTCTTGGATTCGTCTTTCCAACGCCTTTGAGTTTGCTACATTTCCAGCTCGTATGAGGGATATATGCCCGTTTGAAGTCAGATTGTCCTGTTAAGGCAAGTTTAGTGAGGGGTATTTTGGTCTTTTTCTTACACCAAATTTTTTGGGATCAATATGATTTGGATCGGTTTTACAAATCCTAAATTATGCTTAGGATTTTAAGAGGAGATCAAGAAGAGGAAAAGAAGAGAAAAGGAAAAATGATCAAGGTTTCTTGCGAATCGAGGAATTGTTTTGCCAAATCTAGGTATGTAAGTTCTCATAATGTTGAGTTCGTTCACTGACAAGTCAATCATGCTATATTAATGCAATTTCATTCTTGAGGTTGAAGGATTTGAGTTCTTTATGAGTTTTCTTCAAATTTCATTCTTAATCTTGATAGTTGGGGTTTTGATGAATTTTGAGATGAGTGTTAGTAATCTAAAGGTTGTTTTGGGTAGATTACCGTGTACATATGTTGGGTATTCGAATCTAAGTAAATGGGGAAGAAACATTTCGATTCTAGGTGAAATACGATAAAAATGAGAAATAAAATTCATCTGGGAAATCTGGGCAAGAGCTGGCACATTAGCGAGAGTGATGTTCTGTAGTTCAAGCATTGGTGCCCTGCGCTACTCAGTGCCTTAGGGTTGCCTGCCCCTACCCTTTTTCTAGTTTTTGACCCGTCTGAGTTCTTTCAGAGGGTACCTTTACTCCATGTTGATTCTCACTACTCTAAACTACATTTAAAGATCGAGAATCATTCATAACTTAAATCATAACCCTTGAATTTGTAATTAAAATTTAGATAGTGTTAGGAATTAAGTCTTGAGAGTCTTTCGATTTATATTGAGAAGTCTTTTATAATCTTTTAAAACTTGTTTTAAGACTTGAGTACTTGAGCACTTGAGTTTGAGGATGAGGAGAGTGAGTTCATTTTTTTAAAAAAATAATATACTTGAATTAAGTATTCCAAGAGTGAATGTTTTTATATTTAAGAGGAGAGGAATCATTGATTTCCAAAAGAGTTCATTAGGAGTTTTGAATAATATCTCTTTTAAGAGAAACCTTTTGAGTAATAATCCCATATTCGAGGATGAGAAAATGTTTTTTTCTAAAAACATATGAGCTTCTAAAAACATATGAGCTAAGTTACATTTTTGGAGTTCTATTGAGCATCGATCTGGGAGAGTTCAAACAACTCAAAATCCTCACAAATCATGTAATAATGTGGAGTTTTAGGCCAAATTCATCCTTATACTATACTCCAAACTTAAAAGACATCCTTAAAGAATCAGTCTCAGCAAAAAACATCCTTCAAGTATTTAAAAGTGAACAATATTCATCCTATTCGAATTGATCCCACAAAAATCAAGTCATTTTTTTTGTAATTATTATTTTTAGATATGCTGAAAATACTATTGCTAACTATATCGATAATTGAGTTTAGCATCATGCAAAATCTTTTAATTTAACAATTTTTTCATTTATTTTTCATGTATTCGATATTAAAAATATTATTGGTTGAATATTTACGTACCGATATTAACTATTTTTTTACTCTCAAACAAAAAATGATTTAAGTATTTCTATTTGGAATCGATATGTTTCTTCTCAGTCGAATATGTTAGAAGCATCGTTTGTTGGAGACTTTCGCATCTAATAATGTAGAATGAAACTCAAATACGAGACCGAATTAATATTTTGATCACTTCAATATTAGATTGGCCAATAATTTTATTATCTGAATACAATTTTGATTTAAAAAAGGCAAATATAATTTAGCTCCAAATTTTCCGTTACTAAATGATAAAAATAGTAGATCATGTACCCTCACATCTTCCAAACATTTTTATTTGTTTTAGTAAGCATTATTTTCTTCTAGAACATCCTATAGCAGGTAATGAAATTATGCAAGAAAACATTTGTTTATAATCAGGTGAATTATCATTTTTGTGTAGGATCGATTAGTTTTTTGATGATATCTAATAAAAGGATGAAAATTATTCATTTTTAAATACTTGAAGGATGTTTTCTACTAAGAGTGATACTTTAAGGATGTAGTTTAAGTTTATGGTATAGTTTAAGGATATATTTGACCAAAAACCAATGTGGGCAGAAGATTCGTACTTTTTAGATGATTCCTCATTGATTTTTAAGCATATCTTAGTGGATCCATTTATTTAAAGAGTTATATTCCCCGGTAAGGTATAAGACAACTGCACTTTTATCGTTGTTTTATTGCATTGAGTTGAGTTTGAGTTAAGTAGAGTCGAGGTGAGTATTTTTCTTTTTCATCGGTTCAAGCTTGCATGTTATGCTCAATATTCTCTTACATGCTCGTACATTCTATGTATTGACGTTATTTGTCCTGCATCAATTTATGATGCAAATAAAAGTAAGCAGGATCATCAACCATCACCTCGTTGATCAAGTTGAGTTCCAGAGCTGTTTGGTGAGCATCCTTGCTTCCGGAAGATCTTTTATTTATCCTCAATCTATATAAGCTTGTTATGATGATTGGAGGTCTTTTCCCGACATCCATCATAGTATTAAAGGTTAGTAGTTCATGATTCTTTTCATATCAGATGTTAGTGTTCTAGACTTGAGTTACCTCTTTGGCTAGTGAATATTTCATTCCTAAAATATTCTGAGTTTACTTTTGAGACAGTTGAGTAAAGTTTATCTTTTGAGTTTATTATATATTGATTAAGTCTTTCGCTGAGTATTGATCCAGGCCAAAAATTTGTTTGGGACCAGCAATAATTTTCGAGCGTCACCCACACTCAAGGTGTAGGATCTGGGCGTGAAAATACATGTCCTTTGAGAGAAAGGATATGTAATACCTCGAAAATGACTTAGGTGACTAGAGCCTAACATGATTGTAATGATGGTCTAAGGTCCTAAAATGGTAAAAAATGCTGTATTGAGGTAGTGTCTAGAGTTTTAGGTGATTTGGTAGTGAGACGTCAAGATACGACTAAGACGTTCGACGACTAAATCACCTATGTGCCTCATATGTGGTTATGTAAATAATTGTATGTTTAATGAATTAATGAGGTCATTATATGAGTTACTATAGTGTTTATAGGCAGTGCGTCAAGTTTCGTGAAGTTTGGAGGTCAAACGTCCAAGAACATCCATGACGTTCGAAAGGTTTGCCTTGAAACGACCTTGTGTGTCTATGCATGTTTCGTCAAGTTTTAAGTGTTCGTTTTGGATGAAATTCATGTGAGAGGTACTAAACTCGTATACGAACATGTTCGGGTTGGAAACATCCGGGCAAACATCCCCAAGGACCATCCAAGGGTCCTTGGGGAAGGACCCATGTTGGTGGTCAAAACTGCTTAAGGTAGTCCCACCTACGGATGGCAAACGACGACCAGTGGCCTGGTCAACGCCTCGTAGGTTGTGGTGCCGATGGGTACTTATCCTAGGGAGATTAATCTCCCATTTTGAAGGCTCAGTCCCAAACGATGGTGACCAACATGGGCCGTCGATTGGACGACGCCCAGTAGGTGCTGTTCGTCGATGATATGTCTCCTATGCGCAGTTTCACTGTTAAGTTAGGGGTGAAGTTGTAAATTCACCCCACGTCCAAATAAAAGAAAGGGAGGTTACTTAGGTTTATTTTGGGTATTATTAACATTTTTATAATCCTTTAACACTTAGAAGATTTCATTCTTCAAAATAAAAACCCAAATTCCCTTAGAAATTCTTCAGAATTTCGTTGGAGCCAAAACTAAAGAAAGAGATTGGATTGGAGAATTGAGTGGAGATTCTTCATCAAACTGGAGGATTAGCTTTATTAAGGTATGGTTTTTTATCCTTGAAACTCTATTCATCAAGGAGCCCAACTTTTAAAGAAGTTTTCTAAAGTTTTCAAAGATGAATTGTGCAATTTCGTGATCTATCCATGGGTTCTTGCATTAAAGGTTTAAACTGTATATTTATTGAATTGCGTTTAATTAGATGATTTT